GAGTGTGGTCGATCTTCAGGTTGATGGTGCTCGAGAAAGCAGCTTCTCCCATTCGCAGATCCCCTTCCACCAAAGCCGTGTTAGCGACCTTCCCGCTTCCAAAGCCCGTGTTTCCCAGCCTCTGTCAAGCGCTGGGAGAGACTCGAGCATCTCCAGTAACTGCTGGAAAAACTAGAAGTGCTAAGGGTTGAGATGGGGGGAGGCTTTTGGCTGCTTGAACACGGGCAGCTGGTGCAGCTTTGATGGGGCACAATGTGCAGGAGAGCCCCGTTTTTCCAGGCACGCAGGATTAGACCCAGGGATGCAGGAGTTAACCCCCACACTGCCGCAGCACCAAAGGCTTCTTCACAACCTCCGGCTGGGTTTGGAGCCACCTGCAAACACGAGCCTGTCTCCAGGCCTTGCCCAGCGATTGCCCTTCCCAGCCTACAGACACTTTGGGTACAAGCAGGGATCCTGGATGGGGAAAATGCATGAATGTATTTTGGGAACATATTTTATGTATGATGTATTTATGAAAGGTAGAAGTTTTTTTTAATATATATATATATATGGATATTGCAATGCAATTCTAGTGTTTATGAAATGAGCTTTATCTGAGTGTGTTGCTTCCGGAGCAAAAGAATAGTTGTGTGATTCTGGGCGTTTATGGTGTTGCTGTGGGACTGGTAAGTCGTGGATTTAAGTAAGCGGCAACAAGGTGTTCCTGTTCCATAAACGTTATGTTATGTAGGTGTACAGGTAACTTAAAATATTTGAAAGTGTGTTCCCCAGTCTCATATGAAGTATTATATTGCTACAAAAGCATAGAAATATAATCAGTATTTCACAGATCCTTGTGTGCGTGTTTGTCATCAGTTGTCACCCTTTCCCAGCTGCGGTTCTCGGCAGGGGTGGGCTGGATCGGCGCTGCCCGGGAAGCCCGTGCCGCAGAACCCCCTGCTAACGGGGTCCGGGCCACCCCATGGGGGTCCAGGCCTCCCTGCAGGTCATCGTGGTGTCTCCAAGGAGGAGAGTTTGGATTTAGGTTTGTGCTTAAATCGTAGTGTTAATAAAGCCCCTCAACGGCTGCAGGAGCTGCAGGCAGCATCCTCTGACTGGTGGGACAGCAGGTGACAGTGAGACCCTGTGGCTTGGTGTCTCCTACCGACCTGCCCTCTCCTCCTGAGCCTTTGGTGAAGGCAAAATGAAGTTTTTGGTTGCTGGGACAGAAGAATGAAGAGCGCGAGGTAGTGCTTCCTTTGCCCTCCTCCAGCCACAGACCGACCCCTTAGAGCCGTGGAGCTTCTCCCACACCGACGCTACGTAAATGAGGTCAAAGTCCCGTGTCACCTACGGTTTGCTTAGGGTGTGATTCACGCTGTTAAAGAATACAAACAAACAGGGCTTGGTATTGAAGAAAAGCCACAGGGAAGTAAAACAAATGAGCCCCCAGGAGGGAGTCCAAGCAGGAGGAACTGAACATTATTTATTGTGGACAAAACCCCAGGCAGGCGATGAGCTGTTTTTCTCTAGCGAAGAGTTGGTTTGGAAGCTTCCCGGGGGTTTTAAAATGGCAGAAAATAAAAGCTTTGGATGTGATAGGCAGGTGGTTTTGCAGAGCTTCCTACCCTGTTCCCGCTGCGGTGGCCTCTCTTCTACGCCCGGCTGCGCAGAAGAGCCTCGATGCCCGCCCGAGCTGCCGGGACTTCCCGTCCTGCCTGCCCTGCAGCCCGGCCTTCCTCCGGGCCGTAGCCGGGAACAGGAGCAGACACTGCCAATTCGCTTTTTACATGTCGATAATGCGATTCAGAAACGAAAAAAAAAAAAAAAGAAGAAAAAAAAAGGAAAAAAAAAAAAAAAAAAAGAAAAAAAACCCAACAATAAATCAACAAATTGGCCTCTTTTGATTGCATCAAAGGAAAGAAAAAACCTTTCTTTTTTTTTCCAGGGGGGCCAGACCCTTTTCCTGACCACAGGGAACCCCGTCACCGTGGGTCAGGGTCTCGCGTGGGGCCCGGGGGCCCGAGGCCGCTAGATGGCAATGGAGACAGCAGCGTGGCGGAGCAAGTCCCTGTTTTTCTGACAGGAGAAAGGCAGACCGGTGCACTGGATTGCAGTTTTCCACCAGCAAAACCACAAATATATTTTCGAAGATCCAAATAAGGCCCAAGGTAAAGTTTTAGCATCTAGGAACAGGTCTTTCCCGGGAAAAGAGATGTCGTTTGTAATCAGAAAGCGATGCAGCAGGTGAGGGTCCAAACAGACCAGCTGTATTATTTTCACAAAAGTTGATAAATTCTTGTTTGAAGCCTTCCCTCCCCAAGCAGGGACGGAGAGCTCCGAGCTGCTCATCAAAAGGCATTTTCTCTCTTTATACTTTCCCTTCTTGATTTTCTTCTTCCCCCAACTGTGATCTTTGCAATAATCATTTATCAAACGATCATTTGCGGTGATCATCTGTTAGCCTGAGCCTTTCGCCTCGCTCTGAGGTGGAGATAAATCCCCCACCTCCGCTTCCCAAAGCCGCCCCGTCCCTTCTCTGCGGAGCGTGGCTCAGCCGCCGGGCTCGCCTTCGCACCCAGCCCTGAGGATTATCTACCGCTTGCAGGGTAACCCCGCTGAACCCCCTTTACCCTCACGCACCGTTGTGGCTGTGGTGGCAGCTGGAAGGCAAAAGTGAGGAGGGTTTGGGGGGGGTGAAGGGCTCGCTAAGGGGGTGCCGGCCCCCCCAGCGCTGGGGCATGCTCCTTCCCCGTCGCTGCGGGAGCCCGGGGCCGTGGAGCTGCTGGGCTTTTTGGCAGAGGCGAAGAGCTAATAAGCGGCGGTGAAGGGGCGTAGAGGCTGCGACGGGGCGGCAGCGGAGGCACCTCCGCCGCGCCACGAGCGGGCAGAGGGGTACGTGGCAGCACCAGAGCAATGCGGGCGACGCAAAGGGGGATTCACGGGGGGTTTCCTAGCTGCTTCTGCCCGTACCAAAATTTTAAAAAAAAACTTGGCTAGCCAAGACCCAGCGGTGTTATTCTGCCCACGCAGTGTTAGACTTCTCGGGTCTGACTCTCCTCTTGCTTAGGACAGAAATCGAACTGACTGAAGTCAACTAAGCGTCACGGGGTGAGGAACAGGAGTGAAAAAATAATTAAACCACAGGAGGACGAAATCTTTACATCCCCACAGGAGACCCTTGTTTGGTTTTGATGTCCAGAAAAGCCTACCTGCGCTCTCCTCTGGTTGCAAAGGACACTTGTTTTGGAGCACAGCAATAACCCCGGGGTGCTCTGGTCCAGCCGAAATCAGTGGAGAACCTTTTACTGAGCCCAGCGGGCTCTGGGTCAGGCTCATAATTAATAACTTCTCTGGCTTGCTTTAAAACCAAATAGCAGGTTTTAAAGGAAGAGTGGCAGATTAAAGGAAACGTGTGTTTTGCCAGCCTGGACAGACTCAACCCAGCGAACGTGGTGGCCGGGAGGTGTGTGGGGCGGCCCCGGCTCTGCTGCGGGAATGGCGCTGGATTTCTACCCAACAGTTCGCGCGAATTCAAGGGAGCAGAATGTGCTGGCATTTTCTGTGGCCAAAATAATTTCCTCTGGAACAGAATAAATGCCAAAATTTTCTTGTCTTCCCTCAAGTTTTCATATTGACCTGCACAAAACAATTTTAGAAGATGAAAATGAGACCATCCTGCTCCTTCCAATGAGGCACTGTGTTTTGTCTCCAGCCAGGGACCCTCTGTCCAATTTCCCAGGGACAAAGAGAAGACTAAATCTCATGTTAAATTACGAATTTCAGTTGTGTGGCATCTTGCCTGCTTCATTGCCAAATGTGTCACTTAATACAGGGTCCTGAGAAACCTCCTAAAAGTATATACAGTGGGATGAGTCCAAC